TTTGAACTGGATAAAGATTTTTGAGATCGAAAAGTCGTAAAGTCAAAATGTGAGCTTTTGATCAACAATTCAAAGATGATGCAAAATTTCGAAAAATTTTTAATTGTTTTGAGTATTTTCAATTTTTGGAACTAGTAACCAACATCGAAAATTTTTTTCATTTCTTTATGATTCCTCATAATTTTCAATCGAATTCAAATATTAATATAAAAAAAAATTATTGTCATTAATAAATCGATAACCATGAATCTTGACAAAATGTTCAAATTATTAATAAAATACTTAAAAAAAAAAAAGAATTGTTTTTAATTTAAATGACAGTTTGATAAATATAATACATTTATTTCTGGTTTAATGACGCAAATGGATCTATTCTTCTGAGTGATTGCGATTAAACAAAGATCCCTAAGATGCATTTTAAGAAAAGGAGACAAAGAAGGGAAAGACAACCCGAGAAAATGATGTTTATGTGAAAAACAATTGTCACAAAACACACTAAGAACCAACTGATTTGTTCCAATTCAATCGTATCTATATTATCTATTCTTGTCAACTTATATAAAGCAATCCGTACTAACTTTGTCTGCGGAAAAAATTTAGAACTAAAGAATGAGCGAGAAACAATGATAAGAAAAAAAAAAAAAAAAAAAAAACAAAGAACGGTGATCCCCAAAGGATCGTAAAATGTTCCTGGGATACATTTCTTCGGAGTGGCGCTTGCGCGATGTACTGTACTTATATCCTCTGGGATCCTTATATAAATACCGCCACTTGTTGAGCAATGCTCATACCTTCACAACACCGTAGGTATCATTTATAATCACCGTCCAACATTCGAACGTCCATTTTTCGAAAAACTCGAAATTTATTCTTCTGACTAAGGTTAGTATTGATATCCACCAATTTATTTTTAATTAACTTTTAAACAAACATCAATATTCTCTCACATCATTTATTTAATTTCCGTCTACAGTTTTTTTTTTCATTATAATAATCTTTTATAGAATTAATAAGTGCAATATGGTAAATGTTTTCGGTAAATATTTCTAAGTTTTTTAATTATCAGTTCACACAAAAAATAAGATTTTACATTTTTATTAAATTTTTTCTCTTTTAATTTCTTTCTTTTTTTTTCAACTTTTATTTCTGTTTAACAAGTGAATTTTCAATGACAGTAGGAAAATTTCTCGCGGCTCATTTGGATTCTGAAAGCTCAGGGGGAAATGAGAAAAGTCGGAAGTGCCGGACGTCCAAGCTTTTAATAATATTGACTGTCTTTTATTCATTTAAGCTCAATCGCGATCGTCGCGTAAAATGTTTTTTTTTTCTATCTTTACATGTTCCTTTTAAATAGGCTTTAAACATTTATATATTTAAATTTAAATGTCATAAACCGTTGGGCTTATTTATTCAGTGTTTAATATGTCTATGTTTGTTATTTTATCATGAAATATTTTTAAATTCATTATTTTCATTGAACACAGTCATTAAGTTGTCTTGATAGACTGTAATCTATAGATATACTAAGGTATATAAGTTTTGTTTAGTGGTGTTCCTTGTTCACGAAATGTACTTAGCAAAGTTGTTGCCTACATCAACCTACATTTTGGTGCAATTTCCTAATTTTATATGTGATCGTTACATCCAGTACGATTATATCTGTTTTATCTTCAAATTCAATAATAATAAAGTTTTTCTTTACTAAATTATGTAATAGATTGCAAAGCGATCACCTGTTAAATCGGATAGGTAAAAAGTAAGGCACGGTTATCGGCATTTTTATGACTTCATTTTTTACTTCATTGATTGCATCTATAAATATTTTGTAAATAATTGCATTACCTTATAATACAATTTGAAAATTTTTATTTCTAATTATCACTTTGATTTCTTAATTAGAAGGATACAACGAATATTAATTAAATTCTCTAATTCATAAGTCAAGCCTTGATTTTATGAAATATTTATATCAATACTTTCAAATTTTAATTACTCAAATAAAAGTGAGTAAGCAAATGATTTTCTTTAAAAATTAGAACGCACATATATTTATATTTATGACATTTTAAAATGTAGATTAAAGTGAGCCTTGTGACACTAGCCTAATAAGCTTGAACAAATGACAGGGTGGATCGATGATGAAACCGTAGAAAATCATTGACTAACGAAAGCCTTGGTGACTGTTCTTTCGATCATTCTTACTACTGATATTCACCAACTGCTAACATTTATCTAGCTTGAATGCTCAATTAATACTCATTGATATATTCATAGATTTTCATTGTTTTTTAACGCTAGTGTTTATCGATAAAAAGGCGCGGCAACAGCCGCAATAAAATTATTAAGTACATGCGGGTAAAACGGTCAGATCGTAATTTCGAAATTTGGGTATTGTGAGGCAAGTCGAATCGGTTCGAAAGAACTTTACAGTTTTTAATTGTAAGTTATAAAAAATATATATTATTATTTGTATAATTTGATATTTTTCTTTGATTAAAGTTAAAAGTGATACCTCAAATTCAACTGATTTCCATTTACAGCTACCATGAACCTTGAAGAATATCGCCAACATGGTAAGTTTTTTTTTTATCTTAATATTTACTATAATTTTTCAATAGAAAGATTTTTCAAATTTTATGGTTCCAATAGTTTAACGTTTTATTTTTAATAAAATTGATAAAATAAAAAATTTAATTCCTACAATTTCAAATCAATTTTTTGATGAATGATAAAAACAAAATACACTTATTTTCTAAATCGTAATTAATCTTAAAGAAGAAAACAAATCTAAACATTTTAAATGTGCACACGAAGTTGGTCAAATTTTTCATTTCAAAAGGTTTAATCGTAGAAAAAAATTTTACATTAATTAGCATCACTCTTGACACTAGGTAATAATTTTAAAATCAGTCGGTTGTAATTGATATGTTATAGATTTTATTATGCTTTCTATTTTATTTTGTATTTGATAATTAATCAAATTAATCAGAGATAAATTTTCGAAATACGATTAGAATATTATTTTTATTATCGTAAATTTTTATTTATTTTTTGTATCAAATGACGTGTAGTTTATTTAATTCGTTTCGTATATAATAAAATTATTTATTTTAATAGTATGAATAAGAATCTAAGCTCTTTATTATCAATTATTTTGAAACATCATTTATTGGTTAAGGAATTAGTCTACTGTGTCACTTTTTAAAATCTCTTTTTTTTTTTTCAATTTTATAGAAGTTAATCTTGACAAAAATATTCTCTGAAAATTTTGGAATAATCTGAGCATTTTAATTGTAGTTTATCGATAATTCGTCCTAGAAATGTGGCTCACGAGAATGTATTTATTATGCCCAACAACTTTTAGATCAATATTTATGATGAGAATTAAAAAAAAAAATTCGCAAAACTGAAAATAAGCTTTTTCTCAGCGCGCACAGTGGACTAATCTCATACAAGACCTACATGCATTTCACTTTTGGTCTTTAATATTAAAGAAATAGGTAGTTCTATGTGAATAAATAATATATTTATACATTAAAAAAATTTCGGTTATTGTTCAAAAAAAAAAAAAGAAACGTTTGTGTTAAAAAATTTCAAGAAAATAATTGTATTGAATTAACGTATAAAAATATTAAATCAATACGCAAAAGTATTTCAAATATCTAAAATATACATTTTTCACATTAACTTATGTGGTGTAGAGAAGAAAAGATTTTTTATTGTATAAATCCGTTTTTCGCTTAAATCGCTTCTTTTATATTTGCTCTAAATGTTATCATAATAATATATTTCAATTATTCTCTTCGAATAAGTATGTTATTTGAAACAATCAATTTAAAGAAGATATATAAATGTTAGATAAATGCGTATGCAATAAAACAGTGATAAAGTAAATTTTACGGACACAGAGATTGTCTTACCGTAAACTTTATGAGATTCAACCTAGCTTCTCTATACATCTATTTCTATTTTTTTTCTGTGCCTGTGGTAATAAAAAAATCCAATACGGATTTTTGTATGTGCATTAAATCAATAGTGTTATATTACATAACTAAATTCTTTTTAACAATTCACATAAGGAAATGTAATATCGATTTTTAATTTCTAACTCAAAGACATGTAAAAAATACCGTATATATGTTTAATGTTAACATGAATAAATAAAAATTGGTTAGAAGAATTTAGAGAAAAAATGTTTATCACGGAATTTTCAAGATACCCATTTAGCTTTCAATTGCTATTTAGCTCCAGTTTTACTGATAAAACTATTTTTAATATATTGTATTAAACCATTTTTTATACGTTTGAACAATTTTAAGTCATGAAATTATTTTTCATATCCCAATATTTGATTTAGGTAAAATGATGAGACTACTGTAATACGTTTTTTTAGTTACGTATCAAGGCAATATATTTTTATGATAAAAAAATTAGTAAAATGGTTAACCCTACAGGCCTTACTGCAACGTCACGCTAATTTTAAATGCAGAGTACCTTAAATTTCACTTATTACAACGATTTTGAGCTTTTCGAGCTCAAAAACATGGTTATTCAGCTATTTTAAGCTCAGCAAATACTCCATGATAAAACTGTTATCAACTTTTTAGCTCTTTCAGTTCAAAAATTAAGTTTTTATTCAGTAAATTATCATTCAGTTAATCACACAAAATCTAGTGACAATAAGACTCTTTAGAATGTCGTGAATCGCGATTTAATTGGTCAAGTTGTTCAAAAGTTATGATGTTTACACAAATACCCATAGTCAGAATAACTTCTTAGGATCTTAAAATTTGAAGATGTGATAAAAACTCGATTATCAAAAACCGTGGTGGAACCAATAACTTCCCAATTTTTTTAAAACCATTAATTTTCATGGTAGGAAGTTAAAAATTAAAATTGTTAATTAAAATTAATTCAGGCTCGAGTAAAAAAATTCGATAATACGTTTTAAAACAATTGATAAATTTAGATCTTTTTATTTCGACAAACAAGGCAAAGAAATGGTGGATTACATAGCTAATTACCTTGAAACTATTCGGACAAGAAGAGTGTATCCAGCTGTGTCACCTGGATATTTAAGGAATATTTTACCAATATCAGCACCAGTTAATGGTGAACCATGGGAGAACATTTTTCAGGATATTGAAAAATGTATCATGCCAGGCGTAACTCATTGGCAAAGTCCTCATATGCATGCATATTTTCCGGCACTTAATTGCCCAGCTAGTTTATTAGCGGACATGTTAGCCGATGCTATTAATTGTCTTGGATTCACTTGGGTAACTAATTTTTCTTTATTTTATTTTTTTGAATTTATTATTTGTTTATTTTTTATTAATAGTAATAATAATAATCATATTTACTAATATTTAATTGAAGGCATCAAGTCCAGTTTGCACAGAGTTAGAGACCGTCGTAATGAATTGGCTTGGAGAAATGATTGGATTACCTGAAGAATTTTTACATTGTCCGGAAGGATCTGGTGGTGGAGTAATACAAACAACTGCTTCTGAATCCACGTTAATTTGTCTTTTAGCTGCTAGATCACGAGCTTTACGTGCTATACAAGAAAATGATCCTGATAAATCACCAGGAGAAATTAATTCCCATCTTGTTGCTTATTGTTCTGATCAAGTAATCATGAATTTTATTGAATTTATTTATTCGGTATTGTCATTAAAACTATCACTTTTGCACGGCTGAGGCAAAAGCTTACGTTTTACTTTCATCTGAAGATCGAAAAATTAGTTTCAAGATGCATTGATCATAAATAATTGGACGGTGATAAGCAACAATGTTTTCACAAAAGTTTTAGAAAAAAAATTTTTTAAAGTACATTTCCACTAAAAAAACATTTCTTAACTCGAATATTCTGTCAGAACAATTCCAGAAAAAAAAATGTGGTAGAAAACTTTATTGCGTATCGCTGACCAATAGATTACAGTATATTTTTCATTTATCGAACTGAGTGTTTAAATTATCTAATAAGTGATCTAAATAAACAATATAGATTTACCAAATCTCGGTTTTATTGTTAATTATTTGATTATAGGCTCACTCCAGTGTAGAAAAAGCCGGGCTAATTGGGCTAGTACAAATGAGGTACATCGAATCAGATGATAAATTGAGCATGCGGGGAGACATGTTGATGGAAGCAATCATCCGGGATCGTGAAGCTGGATTAGTACCATTCTTTGTAAGATAAACATTTTTTTATTGTACATTTACAGTATGAAATAGTGATTTTAAGTTTTATACTTCGAATTGTTTTACGCTCATCGAATTTTAAAATATCATTTAGAACAAAAAAAAATTTTAAATTTGAAGTAGATTATTGATAGTAGTTATTATGATTGTTTATGTCTCATGCAACAAAATCAACAATTTATATTTTAGTTTTAGCAAATTTTTTATGAGAAAACTTTTTCATCATCTGAAGTTTTTTTAAGTTCAATTCTTCCCTTAAATTTACAAATAATTGGTGTATTCAAATTTTCAAAAAATTATATAAGTGATACATTTTTAATTATATTTAAAACGTGTCAACTAGCATAAAAATAAAAAGTAACTCTCCTATTTTCTAAAACTAATCTTCTCTTTTTCAAAAAAAAAAAAATTTCATAAATTCATATAAATTCAAGTATCCATAATTTTCATCTTTCGTTATGAGAAAAATTCGATACCATGTTATGTTAAAAATCAAAGAAGATTAATTAAAAAAAGATCAATATTTCATTCATATTTTAAACCTTCGTTTGTAAGATCAAAAAGTATAAGAAATAAGAATTTGATTTGAAAAATAAAATATCTTTCTGAAAATAAAAAAGACAAGGATTATAATGTTACGAAACAGGAAATCTGCTTATAAGCTTTCTTGACTACTGGGTATCTCATTATTTTCGCTTCATTTATAAATATCTGATGTTTTAAGACTGACAAATTAACTCCTACGGGAAGTCTTATTTCATTTTATATTTTTGTTATAATAACTTAAATCATGGTTGGTATTTGTATCTATAAAAACAGATCAAATCATATCATAATTTAAACTTGAAGTTGTAAAAAAAGAAAATTATTTTTCCAGGTATGTGCAACTCTTGGAACAACTGGTGCTTGTTCTTTTGACAACCTTAGTGAAATAGGACCAATCTGTAAAGATTTTTTCTTAGAATATCAAATAATATTAAATTACATTAATCTGATTATTATTTACTTTAAATTGAAGGTGAAAAAAATTGTATATGGTTACATATCGATGCTGCGTATGCAGGAAGTGCTTTTGTCTGTCCTGAGTTTCGAGGATGGTTACGAGGTGTTGAATTTGCGGATTCTATAGCATTTAATCCAAGTAAATGGCTCATGGTCCATTTTGACTGTACAGCTATGTGGTGAGTAGATACACTATCTTTTTTTCATACTGTTTAAAATATATATTAACTGTATGCTTCATTGCATTGTATTTATGAGGATGTTGAAAAAAAAAAAAAAAAACAACTTTTTCTCTTTTTTTTTTATGGAATCCAAGAATTGAAAGTCTACTTAAAGTAAAAATCTTAATAGTAATAATTATTAATAAAAAAAAAATTTACTATTCTAAAATCTCTAAAATTGTAGAAATTCGAAAATTGATTGTAGATATATTGATTTGTGGACACCATCGAAACGAAACCGAATTTTTTTTTAAACCTTAATATTTCTAGATTTTGTGTTCGTATAAATTCTACGCTTTATTTTATTGCAGGCCATTTTTATGGCCACGTAAATCAATTCATAAGTTTCCGAGTTAGACTACCTTCGGATTATCCTCATTTTCCTTTTATCATTTCATTTCCAATATAAAAAACATTCAAAAAGTTATCTAATTTTTTTAAAATAATTTTCAATTTTTTTTTAATTAATCGTTTTTAATTATCAATGGTATGTTTCTAATATTTTATTCAAATATTTCAAAGTAAGATTGTTTTGATAAAAATCATTGAATGATATTTTTCAGGGTCAAGAATAGTCAAGCACTTCACAGGACTTTCAACGTTGATCCACTGTATTTAAAACATGAAAATTCTGGTAAGATTTATGAAAATGAATTTTTTTTATTGAATCAGCAGATTAGGAAAACAAACAATATTATAAAAGCTCTGAAATTAAGAAAATTATAAATCCGAAAATAAGAAAAGACGTCAAGCATTCGGCAGTGTTATATCAGAATATTTCTAAAATTTTATTTAAGACTTTGGTCTTTCTTCTATCTGCATTACATTTTCAACATCTAAATTTTGTCTAATAATAAACCTGAGATTTTTCTATACTGTTTCTCATTATATTCACATTCATTCCATTAATTTCGTAATGCATTTCAATAGAGAACTAATTAAACTTCCATAGCTACAACTGAATTTTCACCGACAAAAAAATAGATATGACCTACATTTCAATCATTACTGATCAAAATAAATCGTAGTCACTGAAAAAAAATTTTTCTTCGTTGTAAGGTAAAAAACCCAGTTATTGACACTGACCTAGTTATTGACACTTGCAATTTTATTTCAATAATAAAATAATCAACTCTAATAAATGAATAAATATGAATTTTTGAGTTTTAAATTTTAAGATAATTGGTTTTTTGAGAATATTTTATTTTTTTAATTAGAATAAAACTGCAAGTGTCAAACAACTAGGCCAGTGTCAATAACTGTGTCTTTTACCTTGCTTTACTAATTTTAAATAAATCTCAGTAATTTATTAATTAATTGTAAAATTTATCAAGTTAATCCTTAATAATGAACAAAATATTCATTTTGTCAATGAAAAATAAGGAGTCAAACTTCACATATTTATGAAAAATGATTGTTGCAGCATGGCGATGTGTGCTATTTTTAACTTAGTCATTTTAAAAATGGGTGTATATAAAACGTAAAAAACCAATCTAATAAATAAATTAGTGTTAAAATATTCAAGACTGATAACACAAAGAAAAAATCAAAATAAAAAAAAATATTGAGGAAGATCAAAGTAGTTTCGAGTGAAATATAATTTTTTTTAGCGAAAATAATTTTCTTGTCTTAATAAATTTTAACCTCAGCCAAGATATTTTTTTTTTTCTGAATAATTTTCTCGGATCAAGAAAGTCTCTAAATAACTTAAACTAAAAGACATCAACTTCATAGTTTAATATCTTGCACAGACAAAAATTCTATTGAGTATATTTATTTTATCCAGCCCAAGTTAGAAATTCTATAGTAATAATTTAAAATGATATTTTTTAGGACTTGCAATTGATTACATGGTAAAAAAATTTTTATCTTAGAGAAAAGTAAGAATGGAATTTCATAACCATAACTGTAAAAAAAATTGATTATTTTGCAGCATTGGCAAATACCGCTATCAAAGAGATTTCGAGCATTAAAACTTTGGTTTGTGATCAGAAATTATGGAATAACTGGATTGCAGAAGCATATTCGTGAAGTATGAACGAATGACAATTGATTGATAAGTATTGTAAAAATGAAAAAAATTAAATTAAAGTGAATTTTTTAATTTTATATAATTCAGGGTGTTCGTTTAGCTAAAAAATTTGAGGCTCTCGTTTTGGGGGATTCGAGATTCGAAATTCCAGCAGTAAGACACCTTGGTATGGTTGTATTTCGTCTTCGTGGAGAGAATTCATTGACAGAGAGACTTCTTAAAAAAATGAATAGCAATGGCAGAGTTCACTGTGTTCCAGCATCATTGCATGGAAAATATGTTATACGTTTTACTGTTACTTCAACAAAGTATGTAATTATTTCTTATCTTACTCATAAATACAAAAAATTTTATATGTTATTTAATTGAAAATCATTATTTCTCTTTAAGTACAACCAATGAGGATATTTTGCGTGATTGGGCTGAAATAAAAACAACGGCTTCTGAAATTTTATCAACGGCTACTGTTTCACCAGCTAGAGTTAAAGTTTCTCTTGCAGGTAATTGAATTATTCATTACCTGTTGTTTTTTTGATACAATGATAATCTGAAAATAAACAATGATTTGATTATTTATTATTATCATAGAAACACGTCAGAAAAACGAGAACTTTGGATCAAGTTTATTGCTTGCTAATTCGCCAATGTCACCAAAAATAGTTAATGGAAGTTTCGCAGCAATATATGACACAGCTGACGTATTCAATGATTGTATGAAAGCATTTGGACAACTGCGCTTAGAACCACGTGACAGCCCAGGTAAACGCATCCGAAAAATCAAAGGCATGCACTTCTAATCTTCTTTTATGATTGTTTAAAAATTAATTATTTTACATTAATGTTAATTCAATACTATAATAAGAGGAATTTATTTTAATATAACATTTTTAGCGATGCGACGTCGCATTCGAGGTATTTTAATGTCAGGTAAACAATTTTCGTTAGATTCACGAATGGACTTGGTTCAGGTTCGTAAAAAAAAATTTCAATAAACAAAAAATTGCATACCTCAAATATTCGGGCAGTAACTATATAATGATTCACTTTTAAAAGACATTATTTCTGTTTATCTGAAAATTTTTATTTACTCGCATTAAAAATAATTATATAATTAATAAATAATAATTATATTATATCATCAAGCTGAGTTTGCAATGTTTCTTCCATCTAAGTTCGTCTAAGTACATTTTAAAAAACAGGTGGTATTAAAATTTAACAAAATGAGGCGTATATATTTACAGTTAATTTCGTGCTTTTTAATTTTAAAATGAGTGTCAATATTTAACGCACAAAATTTAAGCTACATCTAACTTTATCTTTGCTCTCATTTAGTTTCTTTCATTCAGTTAACATCTTTATAACTCGAACAGATACCACAAGCTTCCAGCTTTACTAGTATTCAAATTCGATGGATTTCCATCGAACTTATGTAAAGAGAGGATTTCTCTTGACCATGTGGGAAGATGGAATGTCCATCTGTTGGCTTGAATTAAGATTCACTAGTCACTTGACCAATAGGCATGGAACTTTAATTTATATATATATATATATATATACAATCGCTCAAAGAAAAAATAGCTATGAAAATAGCTCGGTTACATCTAACATTGATTGACGAGTTTTGATATCATTATATAAGTTTTACTGTAGTATTATGAAATTTAGTTTTTTGCGTGTGAGAAAAATTATAATAAAGTTAAAAAGACTTTTATATGTAACATAATTATGTTAAGTCTATTTCTACCTTGAACATTGGAACATCTTTTATTTACATTATTTATTATTTATCTGTCACTGTGATTGTTATTCCTACTATTTTTCATTACACTGATGAGTTTCTAACAGTTATTAAAAGAAAATAATTTTCACCTAAATGGTTTAAAAATATTATAAGCATTTATTATATACCTTATTTTTGTATAAAATTATCGATAGGTTCTCTATGATGACGCCAGTTGATCATGTTATTTTCTGAACTGTGCGTCACGCCTGATGTCGTTAGTATGTTAAAATTCTTCGAATCGTGCGTTATATAGCTAGTTATTTGTTAACCTTCAGAAAATTATTATTGCCGTCGCTTGATATTTTCTTCGTCAGCTCTTTGCCGTAAAAAATAAATACAAATTGATCTCGTAGATGTTCTTAAAAATTATATAATTTAGCACCGGCAGTTTACTGATACCTTCCTTAGTCTTGTAATAAATTGTTCAATACTTGATTCTGACATTTGAGGTGTGCAGAATTGTAAATTTAAAAAAAATTATACAATATTCAGATTGTTATTGTTTTAGGGATATGCATCTTGTGGACGTCCTTTATCCGAACCTTCTACGACATTACCTTTAATGAAAGAAGATGAAGATTATAACGGAAAAAATGATTCGAATTTCAGTATTGACAAAACTGACAAACCTATTGGTAAGAATGTTTCATCAAACAGCAATACTATACAAGAGTGAATTTAAATAATAAGTATTTTAAAAATAATATCAAATGTGTAACACTCAATCTTTCCAATAAAAATCACAGTTAATTACGTTACTATTTAATTAATTGATTATTCGCGTTGACTAGATCAATAACTCTCATATTAATTGTTGAATTTAATTATAGAAATAAATAGTGAATAATTATAAAATAGATACTTGATAATAAAAAATAATTAATGAGGAAAGATTGTACACAATTGATTAATCAACAATAAATTGTTAATATTTCTTGTGTGTAAACTGACTAATGATGATAATAATAATAGTAATAATGAAATAAATAAGAGTAAATAAATAATAGCTTAATGAAAACTTAAAAAAATAAATTGAATAATTTAAGGCATCTATTACGATAACACGACATCGAAATCAAATTCAGACGATTCGATTGGCGTGAATAATCATCAGGTGAGTTTTCAAACGAACGCTGAGAACACTATGATGAATTTTGAGATCAATGAGTTATACGTGGGAAAAACAATTACAAAGAGCGAAACCATTGGTGGAATAAGTGGTTTAATCAATACTACATTCACAATTCAATCACAATCTGATGAAACAATGAATAATAAGGATTTAAAAAAGAAATAGAAAAATACTTTCATCAATAGTAAAGTTTATTTTGTGAAAAAAAAAAAAATTTAATTAATTATAAAAAAAATTTAATCATTTAACATTAAACAAAAAAAAATGGTAATGTAAAATTAAGTATACAATAAAATTTTCTTCAGTTGATTTATTTTATTTTATTTCTTATTCCAGTCAATAATAGAACTGATAAATAATTGTTACAATACATTTGATGCATCTATTTATTCAAATATATAATTTATAACTTCAATATAATTGATGATATGAAATTTGAAATTGAATTTATAATTTAGATTATAAATTGAAAATTAATTTATTGCATTAATAATTGCACTCATACATTACTTAAACTCGAATATACGACCTTATACACTAATGATATTATTTTTTTTTCAATGGCAAAATATGATAGCATTTATAATGAATTGTAATACTCTTGACATATCACGTGAAAGCGCTTTTCAATGTCATAAATCTATGATATAATTTTTTTGTTTTACAATTAATATGCAATTTATCCACAATATTGCTAATTCATTGCAAAACAATCGCTTCTTAAAATATTTTTAAAATTTACGTCTTCATAGACTTCGATGGTTCTTTTTTTTTTGTTTTTAACAAAATACTAGGTACGAATTTAATACAATAGTTACAAAGCTTCGTACAGAGATAAATTAAATCATTGGTAATTACGACATTTAAATTTGAAACACAGAAAATTTTTCCAAAATAAACTCTTTTTAACAATTTTAAAAATTAGCCTATTTTTAACATAATAATAAATACACTTAAAAATATTTAACAGCATTATAGATATACTCTCTTGTCTATTCTATCCTATATAAATATGTTAACTGATAGTATTGAACCTGATGATTATAAATTATAGCTTTAATAGTAACACAAATGTTATGTTTAACATAAGATTGTAATTAATTGATACTGATCACTTTCATTAGATCAAATTTATTAGAACAAGTGATAGTTGTTCGGAAAGTGGGTCCACCTTATTTTTAACTATAAAATATCAAAAATAGATATTCTCGAATTTTTTTATCATTATTCTAATTCACAGATTTATTTTATCAATTATTAATTTAATCAAAAATACATTTTTCAAGTAGCTTTGAAATTTTTAAGTTTAAAAAAACTTTATGTCAACCGAAAATCGCTACTAAAATATGTCCACATGAGTTTAGCGATTTCGAGTTAATTTTTTAGTACCCTACGTGTAAAAACAAACAATTGAAAATACAAAATTTTTTCGAAAACGTTAATTATAAACGTTTATAAACCGTAAGAAAAAGATATGTAATTGCAAAAAAAGATTTCTAATATTTTTATCAGTCAAAATATTGTGAACCTTACTTCCGAATAATTATCAAACAAATTTTTTGCAATTGACTTTATTATTAAAATATAAACTTAACTGTTGCAATAGAATGACTTTATTATTATTGAAATGAAGTTGATCATATAGATAAATAAATTTTCAAATTTTACCAGAGTTTAAAGAACAAATTTCAATAGTATCTGGATACTTGAACACAGATTCATTAGTTGTTATTGAAATAATGGCATAAGTATGTAAATGTGAACATTAAAGTGCGCCGAATGTGTTGACACTGAATGTGAGTGCAACATAAAGATTACATGGTACATTGATAATTTAAAGATTAAAAAAAAAAAAGATATCGTATATCGTGTTTGGAATGCTTATCTGCAATGTTGATTATGTTGTTGTAATTGTTTTTGTTGCTATTAAATAATCGTTCGTCAATATACAATACTAATAACAATAATAATGATTATTCAATAATGTTGTTAAACATAGATAATGTTGATATAGCTACAGCCAACAACAGCCAATATAATATGTTACGTATTTTTTACTTTTATGACTCGCAATTATCATTCTCCTCACATGGCACGTGGATGTAATTCAACTGTGAGACCAAAAACTATACATAAATAATAACAAAATCATAAAAAAACAAATAAACGACATAATTTTTTTAATTAAACTATTTGTTCATTTTTCACGTGAATGTTATAATTTAGACTAAAACTCTAAGGCACTTTTATCTCACGTGATGTAAAATTGATGATAGTTTCATTTTTGCTTAAATAGTTATGAAAAACGTGGTAATTTTACATTAAAAATATGAAAATCAAGTGTTGAATGTGACAAAAAAAATTAACATAATTTAAAAAAAATTACTAAATTAAACACAAGAAATTTAACGAGCATAGTCAATGGCCTCACAGATGTGCGTGCGAAAATGAACAAATGACCCGACACGAGCCGCATGGCTTGCCAAAAAAACCTCACGAATCAAATAATTATCTTCTCAAAACGTGTAAAATTCGTTTGGCAAAAGGCTTTTTGGGAAAGCCTTTCTGTGAGGACATGCGCGTTCAGCTTACGCTTATTTTTTACTACTTCCATAAAATCATAATAAATTAACAATATGGTACATTAGATTGTATAATAAAAAAAAATTTTTTCTTTACTTATGTATTATTGACTTGGTAAAGTGGAAGTAGAAAAAAATAGAAAGCTGAAGGCCCACGCAGTGCGTTGTTTCAATTATTTTTTGACAAAAAGTATACTTTTGGAGCGGAAGGTGGGGTTTTATACTGTTTACTCAAAATTCGTTTTGATTTTAGCATTTTCATTATTAATAACAATAACGATTTAAAATTTTGCTTTGATTATGATTATAAGAAAAAAAAATTTCTTAAAATCATTGGGAATTTCGTCTTGAGTCAAAAAAAGATTAATTATTTCGAAGAATAATTTCGAATAAACAGCATTTATCAAAGATAATGGAAGAAATATTTACAAAATTATACATGGGAAAAATTAACCGTGCATCGGGCATTGCTTTTCAATGGCAAATAAAAGAAAAAAGTAATTTAATTTCGGATATATAACGAAGCTGAGTATTGCAGTAAATTGTGTAACTTAAAATTAATCATGCTTAGTAATTTTTAATGTGATTTAATAATTAGACGAAAAACTTAACAATAATAATAAAAAAAAAAAAAAAACAAATAATAATACTCAAGACACCTTAACGTAAAAAATATTTAAAGAATCAAAAAAAGCTGCAAGAATGAAAAAGTTAACTTGATTCAAGAAAAAAATTTTGAACGAAAAAAATGATTTTGAAGGGTTTGATCATCTTTACACTGTTAGAAATGTTTTTGAGCCATGTTAAATTTACTGAAATCAGAAAAATTTCTCAAGGCAAGAACTTTTTTTCTTGATTAAAGATAATTAAAGTTTTAAAGTTATTTTCGCAGTTTATGTTTTTTTTCTTTTGAACCAAGTTCATTTTTTTAAATCAGTGTGAATAAATAAAATATGCTGAGTCGTATTAACAACAAAAAGATAGTTGACGTTCAAATAATGTTTCATACACCTGTACCATTTGTTCATACATTAAAAGATTTTCAATTTCTCATTCCAACTTAATACTTATTTTATCTAGACTTATTTATACTATCTACATAGAATTTAATTCATAAAATCCAACTAGAAATTAATATTATTAATTATTCAGTTGGTTGTAGCAATATTTAAATGCAATTGTAATTTTAGTTTTAATATTTAAGTAATTAAAATTTAATGAGGTCTACTCGACTAAACTTATTTCCAGTTGGTATTTTATTGTAACACAGCTAATTGGTGAACATGCTGTAAATACGCCGTGAAAGACGCTATCTATGCGTACTATAGTTATTGTTTTTTGTTCGACAGTAAATCGAACGAGTTAGGACAGAGAAAAAGTCAAGAGTATATATGTGAATACTACTCCTAAAATAGTGTGAAAGAAATCAATCAAATAAATAAGTTATAAAAAATGATTTTTTAAAAATAAACTTCCGTAATAATTGATTTTAGAGAAATTATTTTTAGTAACTATCAATCAATAATTACTTTATCTATTCTTAGTATTTAAAATTTATTATTTTCTAATAGCTATGATATTTTTGTTACCGAGTATTTAAAACCTTATTGAAGATTTAATAGAAAAAAATAATATTTTATCAGATAGATCCCTATTCTAAGCACGGATTAAAATTTAAGAAATGTCTATTAAAACAGCCACTTTTCATACTTCTTTAATATTACAAATTCTTAAACTGCTAAGTTATTAATTTTGAAAAATATTAACTAATGAGTTAAATATTTAGCTATGGAATTTTTATGACTTACGTTAGAAAAAGTTACGACGAATTATAGTAAATATTTATAAAAAAATTTTGAACGGCTTTTACTAATTTCACGCTTAAATAATTAAGTGTATTTTAAAACTTTTTAGGGCCTCTACAGGAGATAAGAATAAAGAATGTAATGTAAATACAGTGGTGATAATCACAGCGACCTACTAAGCAAGCCTTAGCTCCTGACGAGCGAACTAAGGATTAGGAATAAAGTAGATAGGATCAGGAGAGTTTTATTTAAGCTTGAGGAATGAGATACCCTATTGCACATATCTTCCTCACAGAAGCACATGTGACCAGTGCCGGTACTTTCCATCATGCACACGTGGTCCACCATGAATAAGTTTATTTGCAATTGTGAAGTGCATGTCCTTCGTACACTCTCGTATGCTGAAAAACAAATTTATATATTAGCTTAATTATTTATATATAAGCATTATAAGTTATCATCAGAAATAATTAGGGGAGCGAAGTAAGTCTTTACGTGGATGAGAATTTCATATTTTTTGGTACACTTTTAAAAAAGAAATATAATTATTTTATATTCATGTATAAATTAGTCATCAACCATTATTAAAAAAACAATATTTTTTTCTTTTAGTGTGCGTATGTCTTTCCAATTAGTCAAATCTTACATTATGGAATATCATTTGTTTTATGCTCAAAGTTTTTTAAATAATAAATATTTATCAATATGCAAAGTATATTTTTTTCGTAAAAATATAGATAAAGTCATGGGATATACTAGCTCAAATCGAACAATTAATGGAATCAACCATTTTCAACCTAGATGAATTCTGGTCATAATTTCTCTTTTATGATAAAACAAAGTCCTGGCAAAAGAAACAAATTAAAAACATTTATTTCAAAAAGTCATGCAAAATTCAAAATTTTACTATTTTTCAAGCTTTTCAAGTCTATTTTTCGAATAGCTCTAAAACTATTATGGTAACAGAAATCCACCTAAATTTATTTAGGAGAAAATATGTGGGGCTACAGAAGAAAAATATATTCGAAAAATGTTAAACGAAATTTGTAAAACTTTGAAATTCAGAAAATCGTAATAATCGAAAGTCGAGATTCAATTTTTTGCTCAAGTTTTTTTTTTGTATAATGCTTTCAACTGATCTTAAAATACTCTGAAATTTACAGAAGCATGTAATTCTATTTATTTTTTCAAAATATACATTTTTAAGTTTTGATAAGAAAAAAATAATTTTTTTTGCAGCTTCTAAATGAAGTAAAGCAAAGCAAATGTTTAGTTTTACAAATTTTTAGCAATAAAAAATCTAATCTACGACATTGAAATATAAAATAAAATTATTTGTTTTTGTAATTATTATTTATAAATGGTACTAGATCAAATTGCTGCACAATACCACAGTGAATTTAAAGGTAATGTTTCAAGAAAATTTTTTTCCACGTAAGTACATTCGAATTATTCCACTAAATGAAATTATTTTCAACAGGTCATCAATGTTTGATTACGTCAGTCACCTATTTATTATCTGGTTATAAGTTTTTATTAAACGGTAGAAGTCTATTATTATCAAAACTGATCTGCGTTAATGTACTGACTACTGACAAACCTATACAAATCATTAACAGATGTATAAATTCTATTTAAACGGAACTAAGTTATTGATTATAATAATTTTATTGAACGCCTATTATATTAAAATCTGAACTATGTCGATTTAATTTTGTATTTATGTTCTTTTGTAAATTATACTTTATACTATTAATTGGTTTTTTTTTTTATCAATCCACAAAAAAAATCCATATAATTAAGTAACTCACGTGATTTTGCATTGCGGACCATTTTAACACAACAGCCATTACAGGTCATGAGTGGTGGTTGATCTCTTGGAAGCGCAGTGTAATTGAAAGGATCCTTGCATCTGAGATCTGTCCATGAATCACATTCGTAACAGTAAACTGAGCGTGCTATTTGATTATAAGATATTTAATTAATAAGGTTTTGCAATATTTTTTATAAATTATTTTAATTATACATTGATTCCTTATCTTAGAAGTATAAATTAAAAAATCAACTTTTGTGTCATAAATATAATTTTTAATAGGAAATAAGTTCTTAATTAAATTTAGCATTTCTGAATTTTTTTTATTTACCAAAATCTCCATGCAAAAAAGATCAATAAATATGCATAAAAAATGACATCTTTTTAAAGTATGTTTTAAAGATATATAGTTATAACTATAAGAAAAATCGTATCTCAAGAATCAGCGATAATAATAACAATAACTATTTAATTACTGCAAATGAAATAAGTTTTATAGCTAAAAATTAGTGTAATTAAAAATTATTGAACGTTTTGAGTTTAGTTTTTTTGATTTATAATTGAAAATTTTCTTTGTCATTCATAAAAAATGCAATTAAAAAATTAAATACAAATATTTCTCATTTTTAAATGAACATTTCAAATATTCATAGTACTATTTTTAATATTATTCAATAATATGTGATAATTCTTTTGATATTTCAATAAAATGTTGAAAATTTTTGCTGTGACTATTGTCATATATTTTATTAGTTCAACTACTGTTCCCGGAGGATTCAACTACTGTAGCTTGTCAGAATTGATTGTTTAGCTACTATTCCTTTCATAGTTTATCTTAAAAACGTTGTCAAAATATAAATATTCAATTATCTGCGTTATTTTGCGCTTCAATCAATTCAAAATTGTTTATATTTTCATGAAAATCACTAATTTGAACTAATAATTACATCTTTATATATTAAAAGTAGGGTCAAATACGTTTTACTTTAAAACCTGTTCAACTAACTGAGTACTTTACCTCAATTAGATTTCTATAGAAATAGATTTCATATATGAAATATATTGAAAATCTGTATACTGCCGAGATTAGAACTCGCTATTTAAAACTTTTATCCAATGTATCATTCTATGTAATCAATGTAAAATAAACTCACGTTCAAATTTTTACTTATTAACATCAAAATTTCATTTAAATTGTTTAGACAAGAAATTACTTCTTTTTCAAGTATTTTATTCATAATTTATTAATTGCCCGTAAAAATATTTTCTTATATGATTCCATAATATGTTTGATAGGTCAATATTGGTCATATCAAGCCATATATGGACATGTCTGGCACAGAAAAAAAAATTTACTTGAATCAAGTAAATAATTTTAAAGAACTCCATATCCTTGATTTGAGTAAAAAAATTCTTAAACTACGAAATTTTTTTTCAATTTAAGTAAATTTTACTGTATTCAAGAATTTTTCATCTTCATTCAAGACAATGAAACTCTTCAAAATTTTTTTCTTGATTTGAGAATTTTTCTCTTGATTCAAGGTAATTTTATTTTTCATTAAATATATATTATCAGATCAGGTCATATAAGATATATCAGAACGGTTTTTGACTAGAGATCATGAAAATTTACAAATAAATAATCTTTATTTAAAATATTTCTTTTGCAGATAAAGAATTTTATTTCCACTAATTATCAAGTAAATTAAGATAAAAAAATCTTTGCGCTATGCAGGTAAGTATTATCTATGCTAATGAATATTGAAAAAAATTGATTGTTTAATTAATTCAATTCAATTAAATTTATAAACACTCAAACTAACTATTCTATATTAAAACCTCTATAACTAGCTAATTATATAGATAATTAAAAGCTTGTCAATAAATTGACAATTCCCTTGACATAATACAGTTGAAACACATATTTTCTATTGATCTAAATCACTTACTTTGGCATTCAGCATGACAGACGTTGGCAACAGCTAGCATTATTGCCACTGAAAAAAATATATAAGTATTCGATTAAAAGTTTGTTTCATTAAAATTATTATCACGTACATTATCCGTAGATATCAATAGTAATTTAGAAAAACTAAAATTATTTATACCTACAATTATATGTACATATCTAATTACTATTTTCTAATTTTTCTACAAAGATATTTAAGAACAACCAATCAGTAACAATTGTCTGATGTTTATTTTTATTTCCTTTACCAACTTACCCCTTTGGAGAATGAACCAGTCGTAAGCTTATCTTATATTTTGTTAATTATTGTTAGAAACTTAAAGACTAGATTAATTTAACTCTCTGTTTAAAATAGTACTTTAAATTTATTTAATAATTTAGTTAATAATATTTTATCAACAAACCTGCTATAAAGTAGTCGGGTTCCATTGTTGGCACCAGTATATGTCAATTTCAATGCAGTAAAACATGCGCGCAAAATCATGTGTTTATTTAATTTTTGCCACGTGATTTTGACCTGAGAAAATAGGATTATCAAGACTTTATTTATATAATAATCTTATTACAAATAAACTTAGATATGTGATGAAATAATAACATAAATAATTATAATTCAATAAAAAATAGAGATGAATGAAAAAGACAGAACTGAAAGAGTGTAAGCGGCAAAAAAAAAAAGGATTTTTTGTCACATAAAAAAAAAATAAATTATTTTTCATCACTACTCAAATAAGATGTCACCGTTAGAAGGTAAATTATTCTGTTATTATCCTCTGAAAGTGTTATTATTCATTTGAATTAAAGTTATAGCTTTTATATTTTTCAAATATTCCAATATATTACATTTTAAAAATGTCAAAAAGCTGCATTAATTCGTTTACATTTTTATATAAAACTCTGTTAAAAAAAGATAAGAAATAAATTAATATAAAATAATTCGAAAACAAAGCATCGATTGTTAGCTGAAAAAAAATTTATTGCACCTATCAAAATAGAATAATCCATTTAAACCAACAAAAATTTTAAAGAAATTAAAAAATCATTCTATAATAAGCTTTGAACTATCATAAAAAGATTTGAGTTAAATACCTTGTTGAATGGTATTAATCTAAGATGATGTTAAATCGAATCAAAGGTCATTTTATTCAAAACAGATTTACATAACAAGTATCCGTAGATTCACAGTCGTTCTTGTGCCCTCTTTAATACGTTTATCAAAAACATTAAATAATATGATTATAGTTTAACTTTTAAGAGAATATATAATTTTTTTCGATGCAGCATCAGAACATCAACTATACTAAGTATTGTCGTTACAAAATCCATCGTTTTTTTTTTTTTTTATTTAGCACATCTGCAATAGTAAACATGATTTTTAAATCATAAATACCGTATCCATTTGTTTTCTTGAAAAACTAGAAAATGATAACGCACCTTCTTATTTGAGCAATACATTTGGCTACTTCTTCGAACTTTCAATTAAAATCATGTCATAATATTATATTCATGGTTGAAAATAAATACTTGAAAGTGATAAATCCGATTATTTAGTTGAAACAGTTCTATTCAATTGTAATATTTATTAATCCATTGAATATAAAGTTTGCATGAAAAGAAAAAAGAAATGTTAGTTTTAATAGAATTAAAATTTTTTAAATAAATGGTTATTGAAAACATAAAATTTTTATTAAAAAAATTCAACATACACAAAATAATACAAATTAATAATAAGAATAATAATAATAATTATAGTACTATAATTTAATTTTTTAGTTAATAGAAGATATTGACAAATAAATCCAAAGATAAATAAAATGATAAATATAAAAACATTCTTGAACTATGTATTTTTTCGGGTCTTAATAGTAAACTAGAAAATGATAGATTCTATACGAATTCCTGGTGACGAACTATTTAAATTGACCATAAAAAATCCAAAAATATTTTTAAGTTTATAACAACACCCACGTGAATGACAGTGATAGGCTTAAGTCGAGTCCACTTTCTGCACTAATTTTGCGGATACTAATAATGTATGAGAAACGTGAGTGTGGCACTGGTGATGATCTTTCAAAGCTCATCAGAGAGCTTTACGCGATTGCGCATTCCGAAAATATTTTATATACAAGCTTAGAAGATCAATATTGTAAAGTTTACTGCAGCAATTCCATAAAAACTATATAATAGAGCAAGCTATAATTACCCAGTAAGAGAAATATATAAGAATGATTACAAGATATGACATATATATATGATATATATATATATATATATATATATATATATATATATATATATATATATATATATATA